TCTTTTTCGGTTATGCTGTTAAGAGCCTTGAAGTCCACACAGCAACGTTGGGTCCCATCCTTCTTCCCATCCTTTTTGCGAAAACAATCAATATTAAAGCAGTCCTAAGGGATTATTTATTTATTTTGAATAATCACAATTATAGCTGAGAGCAACAAAGTTCTTTTGATAAACTAACAGTGACTTGAACGTATAGCGTTTAATAAGTCCAACTAAAAATAAATCAATAAAACATATTAATCTGAAAAATAGATGATTTGGTTTTAAAAGCCTAACACTTAAACTGAAATGATATTACTAATGCGTAGACTAAATACTATTTCTTTGCTTTGAAAATCAAAACTAACATTCTTTATTTTAGAAAAGCCACATTACCATTACAAGACTGTTTCCTTGCAAATACGAAAAAACAATAGCTAAACTGAATTCCATCACAGTTCACCAAGTTGTAAAACATAAACAACAAAACTATTACCTAAGATTTCTGTTCTTTGGCCACAATCGATTTTGTAACCTCTGTTGCATTGTTACAATCACAAGTAAAAGGATGTTTATTATATATGGTTCACTCACCAGATCGTCCACTACTATAAGAATAATGTGCGGGTGAGAATGGGAAAAACAAGTGGCACAGGATGAAATAACGAGCAACCCGACCAGCCAACCAGAGTTCCTATGTTGTAATACAAACGGAGTAAAAACTTGAGTCGCTTCGAATAAATTATTTAAAGTTTTATGAAATACCAAAAAGTAAACGTTTTAATCAATTTTATTTTGTCTAGGATCTGTTTGTATTTAAACACAAAGCTACATAAGGAGCTATCTGTGCTCTGCCCACCACGGGTATCGAAACCCGGATTCTAGCGTTGTAAGTCCGCTGTGCCACTGGTGGGGCTTGTCTAGGATCAACTACACGTTCTTTAAAACAAAGTGTTATACTAATAACAACGAACAATCAGTTTAAAATACTTTTTTCTAACTTATCAAGTTATATTCATCCTTTATTTATGTCTAACATAAATTTACCCATATCATTTACTTTCTTTTATTACACAAATACTGTTTTATATTTCGGAATAAGTTCTTTTTTATTTTCTAGTCCTTTACTGTTCTTTTATACATGTTTTCTGAGTAATTTAAAAGCTGACATATGAATTTATAAATCATAACTCTCGCAAATTTAATGGGTACACTCTCTCTCTTCCAGATAAAAACCAGTTATGGAACCAATGTCGTTTCACTAAGAGAGAGTAATGTTATACTAAAAATTTGTTTGTTTGTTCTGTTTATTGGCAAAACCACTCTAGGGCTCTATGCGCTAGCGTCTTTAATTTTGAAGTGATAGACTATGGGGAAAACAACTAGTCAACACCATCCACCGCCAACTTTTTTACAACGAATAGTGCGATTGACCACCACATAAGAATGCCTCCACGGCTGAAGGGGCGAACATGTTCGGTGACAGGTTTCGAACACGCGACTCATAGTTTGCCCAAACCACAAGGCCACACCAGGTTACTATATTAGTTAGTTGAGCTCAGTGATATTCCGAACGTCGCCAGTTTAAACTCGGATGATTTTATTATGATACAAAATAATGTTACTTGAGGAATTAGCTCAGTTACTACAGAAGTAAGTCAACATTTTTGAAATCTCATCATTTTACTTCAAGACTGAATAATGTTACTTGAGGAATTAGCTCAGTTACTACAGAAGTAAGTCAACATTTTTGAAATCTCATCATTTTACTTCAAGACTGAATAATGTTACTTGGGGAATTAGCTCAGTTACTACAGAAGTAAGTCAACATTTTTGAAATCTCATCATTTTACTTCAAGACTGAATAATGTTACTTGAGGAATTAGCTCAGTTACTACAGAAGTAAGTCAACATTTTTGAAATCTCATCATTTTACTTCAAGACTGAATGATGTTACTTGGGGAATTAGCTCATTTACTGCGAAAGTAACTCAACACTTTTGAATTCAGATTATAATTCAAGATTGAATAATGTTATTTGAGAAATTAGCTCGATTATTGGAACATAAAATCAAGTTTTTAAATTCACATTGTCATAAAAAATATGGGCAGTTTTAAACGAAAGACACTACATTGAAATCTAAAACCTAAAACTGGGCAACGTTGTATTACGTAACGTATTTTAAAATATATGCTCTTGTAGGAGTTTTAGTGATCAGTAAAATAAAGTTTTGAACATATATAGTTAGTTAAAACGTATAAAATTATAGTTTGTAAAATTACGTTGCGTAGTAAAGTGTCATTGTTATAATTATTTTCTATACAAAACCCATAACAATTACCATGACTCTGATAATACGTAATTTAATTAAAATAATATACATGTACACGGATTTTTTTTAGATTAAGGCTACACACACACATACATACATGTATATATATATATATATATATATGATGAGTGCGTTATGATTTTAACTACATTTTTTTTTACAATTACACAATAACTTATGAACATATATATATAATTAATACTTACGCAATCATTTGATCTTTCTACTGATGTTTTAAGTGCTAGACATATATACGTCAGAAAATAAAATATATATAACTGACTTCAAAATAACATATGATCTTCCATATATGGGCTCGTAGCTCCAATGAACAACATCTCAGTAAATATGACCCTAATTATTTGACTCTTAGAGCGCCCTCTTTATAAAGACACACACACACACACACAAATGTTGAAACATTTCGCTGTAATCAGCCCGCTGATACTATTCAATATAGAGGCCAGTGCTCACTACTCTGACACGAGGTAAATAACGTGAAAACTAGTTCAGCAGTTTCGTACTGTACGATACTTTTTATGTTTCAACGTGTAGTTTGCAACAAAGAATCTAATTAAAATCAAACATGCAACTTAGAAATATCAACTGGGCTAGATTAAAGTCATATGTTACTGAAACTAAATATGGTTTTTATAAATATGGTTTTAATAGATATTTTATTGGCGTAAGCGATTTATAGAAATGCCTCTCCTTCACAGATTCGAAACTATTTTCTTGTGGTATAGTGATATTATCATGTTAGCTTGAGACGTGGAGTTCACCTTGGCATGTTTTCAACTGGCGAAAGATGGCGTTCATTTTCTTGTGGTATAGTGGAATTATCATGTTAGCTTGATAAGTAGAGTTTACTTTGGCATGTTTTCAACTCGCCAGATGTTTAAATCGCCATTATAAATGTAATACGTAAACACTATAAACCGTTTAGTTAAACTTTTGCAACATATTTTGTACAATTATTTAATATTGTCTCTTTGGTAGGATGGTAATAAATTGCTAATAATTTTACAGATGTAAGTAGAGATATGTTCCATCCAGTGTAATGATATATTTCCATTTGTCACATGTTAGGTATTGCTTGTAGAGCTTTCAACACCTGGTTTTATGTTTAGATGTGTGTTTGAGAGAAGCTTGTAAACAAGGCGCTTGTGTCATTTTTGTAGTGAATTATTTTATTCATATTTCCAAAGTGGGTACTTTAGCGTCAATAGAACCTTGAATATTTTAACTTTCTTCGTTACCTCTTGTGTGTGACTAGTAAATGGTCATAGAAGGACCTGCTTTTTTTTCTGCCGGAATTATGCCCTCCCTTACTTTACTGATAGTGTTCAACACCGCTAATACTTGTTTTTCAAAATATTTTATAATAGTAAAGTAGGAGAACTTTACATAATGTAATCATTCTAGAAGGGGTCAATTTTGGGCGATTACCACACGTCAAATGAATTGTAACAAGAGGGTCAGGGGTGGCTAGCAGCAAGAGAACAATATTCTGTAGAACTAGCTCAGCTTTCCTGATTTTAAAGACAAGTTGATGAAAGCAGGAAGATGTATATGCCCTATTGAAGTACCAGATAAAGAAAATATAATGGTCCATTTCTGGAAGGAGTACAACATTTATATTTCAAAGAATTCCTTTCCAAAGTTAAAGAACAAACAACAACAGCAAAAGAAACAGCAGGTTTCTAAAAACCAATGAAAATTACTTGTCACTTCTAATATCATTTCACCAAAGAACCATCAGTTCGAGTCTTGTAGACTTACCTACCAGTGTGCCCAAATCTGTAAAGGCAGAGCTTATTCTACAAAATATTATCAGATTGAAGTACCATAATCATTAAATGGTCTGGGCACTGCATGATAAAGAAGAATATTCTTGACTAAGGTCAAGATATCTTAGAAATAGGATTTATAGATCCCCGCCATGCTGTCAACAATCGCTTGAAAACAAGCCTTTACCTTGCGATTTTTACATCTGCAAACTTATTTAACTTATCAAATTTATTATTCTACCTTTAATACCGGTTAAAAATAGTTAATCCCTCAATCACTGGCATTTTAAGACTACTAAGTTTTTATAACCTTACTATAAAAAGTACAAAATCAACTTTCACTGTTGCTATATAAAATCAATACGAGCGGGGCGAGGAGGGGATATCAACATCCTCAAACATCCCTGTTGAGAAAATATTGAATTTTCCTTTAAAACTAAATATCTGCCACGTTTAAAGAAGTTAAGACGTCGGGGATTAGTCCAGAGTTGTTCAGGAGAATATGTTTCAACAAGAACCGGCAAAAGACTCAAAACATCCACTCCAGGAAGCTATATTGCGTGTGATGTTAGCAAATCGCAAGTCTTTTTACCATTTCATCCAAGAATCACCAGTTCGAGACTTGAGGACGTACACTGAGTGGTCACAAGTAAATAGACACTTACTTTTTCATCATTTAACTGATTTATGCTAAC